GGGAAAGAGAGAGCAGTGATTTAATATTTTAGTGCATTCAAAATCGGAAAGCTAGAAAGGTAAGGATTTACTTCTACTCTATTTGATTTAATATTTATAGTAGTTTATTTAAACTAAAAAATATGTGATTGTGTTTGAATTATTCTATCAGTTATTATATTTCTGTTTTCTTTTTTTTTCTTTAAGGTGTTATGGTTTTTTTAATTATTTATGAATAATGTATGATTTGTTGCGCTGCATTTTTTTTTTATTTTTGAAAAATATATAAAGCATATGTTGTTACACTCTAATTTCTTGATACAACAAGATGATGATTCCTCATAAACCTTTTAGCTGATAAGTATTATTTATTTCTATATTTGAAAAATCAATTTTTTTTAGAAAACAATTAAGATAAATATATTTAATTAGAAATTCTTTCATAGTAATGAGACTAAATAAGTTTTCTATATTTTTGGAAATTGATCATTTTAGTAATGAGACTAAATAAGTTTTCTATATTTTTGGAAAATATAGAAATATATTTTAATTATCACAATAAAATATATTTTAATTTTATTAAAACCATCCAAAATCATAAAAAATTAAAGGAAAAAAATAAAAGAAAAAATAGAAATGATACCGTTGCACCCAGCCGAATTTCAGTTAAATAGTTCTAAGAAAATGAGACATAATAAAAGCGAAATATTTCTATATTTAGATTTTGAAGTGTTCATGTAAGATTTACTTATAAATACCCACATGATGAGGAAATGAACGTAAAATATTCGTTTTGTTCTTTCTCTGCTCTCATCTCCATCTCCTTCCTATTTCTATATAAAAAAAGAAGGAAGAAAGTTGAAGCAGGAGGTATATTATTGATTATTCTGATAGCTGGAGTTTGTTGGGAGCATGGATCATCAACGGAAGTGGAAGAAAACAGAGCAGAAATGGCTGCCAAAGAACGAGGGATTCATGACAACGCCCGATCGCCGGTCAGCTTCTCCTGGTAATATATTTTTTTTCCTAAGATAAAAATCTCATTTTTAATGAAGGTTATTCTGTTGTTCTTTTAGGGTTCATAGTTTGTTTGTGTCAGCATTGCTTTTTATTTGTTTTCTGTTGTGTTGATTGAGTATCAATGATGAAGGAATCATTGTTAGTTTTTTAGTTTTTGACTTAAATTTGAGGTTTTTGTGTAAAAAAATTTGTGATTTTGGTGAGTGGTTGGAAGAAGATGCAGAAGTACTCTTACTACTTCTGTGGTTATTTTTTACTTTTCTTGTTTTATTGGAAATTCTTTTAGATTTATATATATAACCTATCAATTTTGGTATTTCTATTTATAACATTTTGGTGCTATAATTTCACACGGAAAAGACGCATTTTTCTAAGAAGTTAGTAAAATAAATTTTCTTATGCCTTGATAAAGATTTGAAAGTTATGAATGAAAATATTTAACTTTAGCTATATTTGAGATGTAAATACATAAAAATTATGTGGTATTTACGTAAAAGCCTTTTCTTTTCTTTGGTCCTATTTTTGGTTATTATTTTTGGATGGTAAAGATACTTAGAAATCTTTAAAACAACATTTTTATTTGATTAAATTTGATGTTTAGTAAGAATAAAAATAATAAAGAGTTGTATATAATTAAAGAAGAATATTTTACTCAATAGTATATGTTACAACAATAAATGCCAGTCAATGTAAATCCTTATTTTACCTTTTTTATTTTATTCTTATTGTTATTATTATTTTTGTAGATTCATTCCTAAATAGCTTGTATCATGCATGCTTTTACTTAATTTATGAGTTCCTTTCATCAACTTCAAAAACTCATTATGCTGTCCAAGTTTCCGTTCACCCTAATTTGGTGTAACTTTAGACACATTTCTGTATAAAGAACTAGAGAATCATCATTGAATGAAAAATATATTAACTTTCTGACTTTACTCTTTAATGAATTACAGGGCCTTTTTTAAAATCAGTTCCCAACTGGGAGAAGGGATTCTGCAGTCAAATTAAATGGAGAGACTTCTGTAAGAAAAAGAGATGGGTGGATAAACACCCAAGAGTGCTAAATTGGGATGACTCTGCTGCAAAAGAGGCCTTTGACATTGGTAAAGCTCGCTATTGGGCAAAAATTAAGAAACTCTCTTTTGAAATCCCATTGCCAGATCCAGATATGTTTATTCAAGATATTGATTATGATCCTTATATCGACCCTTTGTTGATCGAAGACTTGTATAAAATGCCACCACCTCCTCCAGACCTTAGTTACATTGATGTTATACCAACAGGATGGGATGTTGAAGCTCTGACTAGTAAAGTTCCAGAATTTATTGTTATCAAACCAAATTCAATTAATGACATGGTTGTTAGTTCTGCTTTTGTTCCATCATCTGCAAGATGGGGTGACGAAGAAGATATTACACCTACTGGATGGGGCGATGAGAAAGATATTACGCCTACAGGATGGGGAGATGAGAAAAATATTATGATCATTCTACCACCTACAGAATCAGATGATAATAAAGATAATACAACAATCATTCCATCACTTGCAGGATGGGGAGATGAGGAAAATACTATGATCATTCCAACAGCTACAAGATCGGGCGATGAGGAAGATACTACTACAATCATTGCATCACCTATAGGATGGGGTCGAGGTGGGGAAGATACTGAGATCATTCCACCATCTGCAGGATCACTTGCAGGATTGGGTGATGAGGAAGATACTACTAAATTCATTCCACCACCTCCATGGAGGAGAGATGAGGAAAGTACTATGATCATTCCACCACTTACAAAATCGGGTGATGAGGAAGATAAGAGTACAATCATTCCATCACCTACAGTATGGGGTGATGAGGAAAATTCTAAGATCATTCCACCGCTTACAATATTAGGTGATGGGAAAGATACTACCACAATCATTCCACCACTTACAAGGTCGGTTGATAAGAACGATACTACTACAATCATTCCAACACTTATAGGATGGGGAGATGAGGAAAATACTATGATCATTCCACCACCTGCAAGATCGGGTGATGAGGAAGATACAACTAAAATCATTCCATCACCTACAGGAAGGGGAGACGAGGAAAATACTATGATCAATCCACAACCTACAAGATCAGGTGATGAGGAAGATACTTGTACAATCATTTCACCACCTACAGGATGGGGTGATGAGGAAAATACTAAGATCATTCCACCGCCTACAAGATTGGGTGATGAGAAAGATACTACTACAATCATTCCACCACTTACAGAATCGATTGATAAGAACGATACTGCTACAATAATTCCAACACCTACAACACGAGGAGAAGAGAAAGATACTACTGCAATCATTCCACCACCTACAGTATGGGGAGATGAGAAAGATACTACTAATATCATTTCACCACCTACATGATTAGGTGATGAGGAAGATAATACTACAATCATTCCACCACCTACAGGATGGGTCAATGAGAGAGATATTACGATCATTACACCCCCTACAAAATGGGTTGATGAGAGAGATGCTACGATCGTTCCATCATCTACAAAATGGGGAGATACTACAATCATTTCATCACCTGCAGAATCGGATGATAAGAAAGCTACAATGATCATTCCATCACCAACGGGAACAAGCTTGCAACAAGATATGACACATTACAATAAATTCTCTACTGAAGTAATTAATTCTTGGGAACGATGTGAGTGTGGAAATGGCGGTGCCCCTCTGTTGAAATATAAACTTGTTTTAGTTGTTTAAATAAAGCTTAATTTCTATAAGCTTATTCTAGAATATGTGGTAGGTATGAAATTATTGTGTAGTAGGTGTGGTAGGTGTGGTAGGTGTTGAATTATTGTGTGGTAGGTGTGGAATTATTTGTAACCATTGGATTGTAATTGTGGTGGCACAATCCTAGCCATTAATTTAGGAGGTGCCACTAGTATAAATAGGGGTGGAGTCTTTGAGTTTGTATCAAGCCAAGTAAAGGTGATAAATAAGAGTGAAGCTTCTTCCATAAGTTGTGTTTTTAGCCTTTGTCATTTCCTAAAAGTTTCTTCATTCCAACAAAGTGGTATCATAGCGAGGTTCCATTACAGAGAAATGGCAAACGGTGGCATGGCTTCGTTCCAAGTCCCGATGCTTAAGGAAAGCATCTACGACAACTGGAGTATCAAGATGAAGGCACTCCTTGGAGCGCATGACGTTTGGGAGGTTGTGGAGAAAGGCTACGATGAGCCAAGTGATGAGTCTATTCTATCCACAACACAAAAGGATAGCTTACGAGACTTACGAAAGAGAGATAAGAAGGCTCTCTTCCTCATCTATCAAGCTTTAGATGAAGATGGTTTTGAGAAGATCTCAAGTGCTACTTCGGCCAAACTAGCATGGAAGAAGCTCGAGGTTTCATATAAGGGAGAAGAGAAAGTTAAAAAGGTACGACTTCAAACTTTAAGAAGTCAATTTGATGTTTTGCATATGAAAGAAGGCGAGTTGGTCTCCGATTACTTTTCTAGAGTCATTACCATTTCTAATCAACTAAAAAGAAATGGTGAGAAGTTAGAAGATGTGGCTATCATGGAAAAGATCCTCAGATCGTTAGATTCAAAATAAGTGGAGAATACATCAGATGGATGTAAAATCTGCCTTCTTGAATGGAATACTTGAAGAAAAAGTCTACATTAAGCAGCCACCAGGATATGAAATCAAAGGGCAAGAAGACAAGGTTCTAAAGCTAAAAAAGGCTCTATACGGGCTAAAGCAAGCACCAAGAGCATGGAATAGCCGAATCGACAAGTATCTGCAAGAGAAAGGCTTCATGAAGTGTCCTTATGAGCATGCACTTTACATCAAGAATGAGGATAAAAATGTCTTGATTGTTTGTTTATATGTCGATGACTTGATCTTCACAGGAAACAATCCAAGCATGTTTGAAAAGTTCAAAGAAGCGATGACAAAGGAGTTCGAAATGACAGATATTGGGCTCATGGCATTCTACCTTGGCATTGAAGTCAAGCAAATGGAAGATGGGATCTTCATCTCACAAGAAGGTTATGCAAGGGAGATATTGAAGAAATTCAAGATGGAGAATAGTCAATCTATAAAAACTCCTGTAGAATGTGGAGTCAAGCTATCAAAGTTTGATGAGGGAAAAAGAATTGATCCAACATTTTTCAAGAGTTTGGTTGGAAGTTTGC